ACCTGCTCCTGGCCGGGCGTCCACCTGTTTATTACTCTACGGGGCTTGCGAGAGGGCGACGGAGCCCCTCCGGGCAGGGCAGGACTTGAGAAATGATGGAGACGGGGCACGTCTGGGGGGATCAGCTTCCTGGGGCGCTCTCCCCCATCCCCCCACGCACACTCTGCCTGCGGTATCCGTGCCCCCGGGGCCTTGGGGAGCCTTGAAGCAGAGGCCCTGGAGGTTTGCACCGACCGACCGCTTCAGACCCAGACAGCGGTCAGCCTGCCCCTCCCCTCTGACCTGCCCCTCCCCCTCCCCCCCCCCCGCGGCTTCCTCAGTTTTCCAGATTCCCCCCAAATCTTCCTCGCATCCTGGTCCCGGTCCCTCCCGCTCACGCGTCGGTGCCTGTCCGCTTCCACGGCACTTCTTCCTCAGAGCCATCCCTCCAGCCCCAGCCGCCCACCACCACCCCTGCCCTCGCAGTGAGACTGACAGTTTAGGGAAGGCCGCGGGGTCCCAGGGGCGGTGGGGCGTCAAGAGTTTCTCCCTGGCCCATGGGGGTACATATCGGGGTCTGAGGGGACAGGGACTTTGATAGCTTGTTAATGGGAGAGTTTTGTCCTGCCCCGCGGCCTGGGGAGGCCAGCCAAGTGGTTGTGCCCTCAGGAGGCCATACCCAGCAGGTTTTTCCCGAAAGGTGATTGGACTCTCCTGGGCCAGGACCTCTGGGAATGGCGGGGCGAGGGGCAGACCCAGATGCCTGGAGCCAACTTCCTGTTCTGGGTGGGGGGAGGCCCACAGCCCCGCCCCAAGGAGTCCACAGGGCACACGACGATATTTACTGCCCGCCTCATGGTGCCCACTGGCTCCCGTTACCGGCAGGATTCTCCCAGCAAGTCTGCTGGGCTTTCCTGTTTTGGGAAGTGACCCGGAGGCCAGCACCTTCCTGGAGCCAGGTGGGTGTGGGCCCACTTGTCTTAGGAGGAAGCTGGCTCAGAAAGGACATGGAATGTGTCCACAGTCACACCTCTGGCCAGTGGAGCAATCCAGGTAGGAATCCAGCCCCTGGCTGAGCCCAGGCGGCCCCGCCTCCTTCCCCACCCAGGGCGGAAGACATGGCACACCTCTGCATCCTGTCTGTGGTCAGAGCCCGACCCCGCCTCCTTCTTGGAGGGTTATTTGGCAACCCCCCGCCAGATATGGATTTGCCTATGCTCCTTTCCCTGGCCGTGCCAGGGGTGCCAGGAAAAATCCCGGAGTCCTGCCAACAGGACCCTGCCTGGACTTCTGCTGGACCTCCAAGTCCTGGACACCCTCAGTTATCGATTGCCTCGGAGCAGAGTATCTGGGTTCCAGTGTCTTGAACGATGGCTTATTTCTCAGGCGTCTGTGGGTCGGTGGGTGGGATCTCTGCTGGTTTGATCCGGCTCACTGGGGCTGCTGTGTTCAGCTGGGGGTCAGCTGGGGGGACCGTGGACGGCTGGCGGGCCGGATCTGGCTCCCCACATGGTCTCCATCCTACACTTCTTCACAGCTGGGTTCTCAGATTGAGAACCCAAAGGATTCAAGGTTTCTTTTTGAGATGATGAAAAGTCTCTAAAGTTGACTGTGGTGAAGGTTGCACAGCTCTGTGAACGTCCTGAAAGCCACGTGATGGAACTGGACGAATGGTATGGTGTGGAGATCATGTCCCAATAAAGCTGCTGGGAAAAGTTTAAATTATAAGCCGGCTGCCTTGTCAAGGCCCTGCCCTCGCCTGGCACTGCCCTGAGCTGGCCCGAGGCTCGAGGCTCTGCCCACTGTTGAGTCTCCACCCCTGATCTCTAGGGCAGGGGCCAGCAAATCTTTGCCCCTCCCCCTGCCCCTGGTCCCCACCATCCTGCTGTCTGTCTCTGAGTGACTCCTCCAGGGGCCTCCTGTGAGTGTCCTCCTGCATCTGGCTTATCTCCCTGAGTACACGCCCCAAGGGCTCATCCTGCAGCCACCGGGCCACTGCTTCACTCCCCGTCAAGGCCGCGTTCTACTCCACTGTGTGGCGGGACCATATTTCACCTGTTCATCACTGATGAACACTCGGGTGGCTTCCACCTTCGTCTGCTGTGAATGATGCTGCTGTGAACACAGGTGTGCAAGTAGCTATTCGGGTCCCCACTTTTAATTCTTTTGGGGGGACACACCCAGACGTGGAATTGCTGGACCACACGGCGATTCCATGTTTAGGTTTCTGAAGGGCCCGCCAAACTGTGGTCCACGGTGGCTGCACCGTTTTATATGTCCACCCGCAGTGAACAAGGGTTCCAGTTTCTCCATGTCCTCACGAGCACTTGTCATTTCCCAGTATTTTTTATGTCTTGATACTAGCTAGTGGGTGTGAATTTTAATTTTTTTAGCCACTTAAACATGGTCATCCTCGACTCCTCAAACACAGCTCTCTGAGGGCTGAGCTGTCCTCCTTTTCCCTGAGCCCCTGGGTCCCCTCAGAGGCAACCACCCAGCCCAGCCATCACTCAGTCAATATGGGCACTGCCTCTCTTCACTCTCCTCCTCTGTGTCCGTTGGTCCTGCCACTTCTCAGCAGGGTCGCCTGTCTTGCCCTTGGGTGCTGCCTCCGACCCCGCCCCATCTCCTGAGTTCCAGCTTTGCCCCCCCCAAAGCAGAAGG